TTAGAGTGAGATGTGCTTTCCCTGACCCCTCCCTGGTGGGGCGTGCTAACCGGAGTCGCCTGCAGTGCGGGGCCAGAGGCTGACTGAGGCAGGCCTCTGCCGACGCGCGGAGGTGATATTTCTGTGCAAAGCTCTGCTTGTCAGAGTGGAACTCAGACTCTCAGTTGTGAATCCCAAAGCTTCAGGGTGCACGGTGGGGCACTGCTTCTAGTCCCTGTCTCCAAGGAAGGTCCCGTTGAGACTGTTGCTGCCTTTTTCTCCGTGGAGCTGTGGTTTGCCATATTTCTTTGACCGTGAATGCTGAGAGCAAGAGATCAATCCTGTGAACCACCTCCTCCTAGACAAGAAGCTCACATATTCATGCAAACACAACTTTGCCCATAATCCTCTAAGGCTCTAGGATCCCTGACGTGAAGTCTTACCTTCGAACTCCAGGGCAGATTTAGAAATCTCTGAAGTCATCTAGTTTCCTCTTTGAGGGAGAGTCCTCACTACGGCTCCAAAACAGAGTCATCTAAATTGATTCTAGAGGCTTCACTTGCTTAAGGCTTTACTGTTACTTACGACCAACAGTGAGAAAAATGCAGCACACTCCCTCCCCACTTCCTGCTCCAAGGTCCTTTACCCAAAATTTAAGTTCTAACTAACTCTCCTCTTCTGACTTATACAAATAACCCACACCGAGGCACATTGGACTATGTGCAGTTTCCCAAACGTGTCGAGGAGCCTTCTTCCGAACTGTGCCTTTTCTCTATTTCCTACCCCCTAGATACTTCTTTGTCCATCACCATCTGTCAGAACGCCATGACTTCTCCGTAAAGCTTTTCTTGAACCCTTCCGTTCGGCCATCAGCCTGGGCTTAAATATCTCTTACGGAACCTATCAGTTTCCACAGTGGATTATCTGGGCCTCTGTAAGGCAGAATATTTGAATTCTTGAGGTCTGGAATCAGAACAACTGGGTTTCAATTCTGGCTCTGGCTCTTTCTTCCTGTGTGACCTGTGTACATTTCTCAACCTTTCTGTTCCCTCATTAACAAAATGGACACAGGGGACACCTGGGTGGCTCAGTGGGTTAAAGCCTCTGCCTTTGGCTCAGGTCATGATCCCAGGGACTTGGGATCGAGCCCCGCATCGGGCTCTCTGCTCAGCAGGGAGCCTGCTTCCTCCTCTCTCTCTCTGCCTGCCTCTCTGCCTACTTGTGATCTGTTAAATAAATAAAATCTTTAAAAAAAAAATGGACACAGTAGTGTTTCCCACTTCATAGGTTTAAATGAACTTACCTAAGCAAAATTCTTAGGGCAGTGCCTGGTGCGTTGAAAGCGTTTGATAAGGAGTATTTTTATTTTAGTTGATTGTATACTTTGGTTCCCATCCCTTATCATTAAACTGTTAAGTAGTTGAAGGGAGAGCCTGGATTTTAGTCATCCCTTTATACCTCAGAGAACCCTACCAAGAAAAACTTTGGACAGAGTAATAGTCGATCAATGATATTTGAATGAAAATGAATCAGCCATAAAGATGTTATCTAAGGACTTCAAACAGCATTGTTGTCATCTATATTTCATGAGTAGATGAGAGGTGGGAGTGGTAAGATGGATACTAATTCGAGACGACACATCATTCTGGATCTTGAAAAGACATGCTGACTGCAACTCTCGCTCCTAACCCCAGAATTTTTATTCCATCATGAAGGATATGCCAACAGTTCTCATCTTCTCCAGGTATGACTTTTTTCCAACCCCTGCGTAATTATACAGATATTTATTTGGCAACTATTAGGTGCCCTGGCATGTGGGCTGGAGATCAAAGCTGTCCTTCTTGGGTTCCTGAGAACCAGCTGCTCCAGCGCAGGAACTCTAGCCCAGGACCCACATCACATACACATTTTCATATTCTGCGAGCTCACAGCCTAATAGCAAGGTCAGATGGTAAGTGGCCTGTAGGATTTACCTGTCTTGTGACAGGAGGTGTGTTTTTATGTCAAATGACAGAACAGCATATCATACATCCTTAAAAACTATTCTAATAATATGTATAGAAAACTTACTATATCACTTCCGACCACCCAGCCCACTGAGCTGACCCAAATAGGCCCCTTGCCATGTAGAAATAGCAGACACAATGTAACAAATTTATTTTCCATACAGCCAAGTTTCATAAGAAAAATATGAATCCTCTGAAGCCAAGAATGTTATGAAATTAAATCAAAAGAATAAACAAAAGAATAAATATGAACTGATACCAGGAAGAGGCCACAGGAGCAAGGGAAATTCCCTCCCTGGGCAAGGGAAATATTACAAAAAAAAAAAAAATGTAGGTTTAGGCCTAAAGGAGAAAAAGAAACTGAACGCCCTTCACAAACATACCGTCTGCCTGGGGTTCTGAGAGGAGTATAAAAAGTCATTATGAAAATTAAAACTCTGAGTCTACACCACACATAGGTTTAGGGCCTTAACTTGGAAAATTTCCATGATGTGGAACCTTCGGCTGGTACTTTAACATAATCTAGGGCCACTCGGTGCCCCCTGAAATTCAGCTAAAGCCAAGGCAAGATATATCTGTAGAGATACTTTCAAAGGCGATCTCCTCCTGGTTCTTGCAAAGGCACTTTGAAACCCATGTGGAATCATCCCTGCTCACCAAACCTGGTCATGTGCCAGTATACCCTACTCAAGCATGACACCACTTCCCAAGAAGGCACACAAGTCCAGGCATCGTCCTTGATACCCTACACCAATCCATCACTAAGGCTCATCGATTTTACCTCGTAAATATCCATCAGACCTGTGCCCTTCTCTCCATTTCCAATACCCCATCCTAGTCCAAACCATTGCCATCTCTCCGCAGTCCCCGAACTGGTTTACCCTGCATCCATCTATTAGGTGGAACCATAGGAAATGGTCATCTTCTAGGACAAAAAGAATGTGGATCTGACACTTTCATAGGATTCAATCTGATATTTCTTCCCATCTGATTTCCACACTACAGAGTGAGTTACCTTTCTGTAAAGCCCCCTGTGGAAACCTTCCATGGCTTTACTACTGCTTTTAAGAAAACGATAAAGCTCTTAAGCATGGACTACAACGCTGTTTAATCTTACCTTCCTCTCTAGCCGCATATCCCCACTCTTGCTTATTCCCTCTGACCTGACCCACTGGATTTCTTCTAGCTCCACACCTTCTCCATGTTTCCTGTCCCCACAGAACTTTCACACATGCTGTTTTCACAACCTAGAATATTCTTCAAACCCCTCGTCAATCATACAACTCCTTATTCTTCAGATCTTGAGAGCCTTATCTGACCTTTCTGCCTTCATGGAAGGCCCCAGAACAAGGTCTCTTTATGCGAAGGTCATCTCCTTCATAGCACTTCTCCTAGAGACAGCTCGACATTTATCCATGTGACTATCTGACATACATCTGCTTCGGCCATCAGAGCTGCGAGGGTGGGTAAATAAAACATTTTAAAACTATGGAATGAAGGAGTGAAAAGACTAGAGGCAAGGTGACCAAGGTGGAAACAAATGTAAATGTTCTTCAAGAGAAGGGGAAGACCTAATACGGAGGCCTATTCTTCATGCCTTACCTTGGCTAATCTCCAGAACAGTCCATCTTTTGCTTTAGGCATTTTATAAACACGGAACATAGAGATAATAGATGACTTTTCCCAGGTCACATAATAGTAGATCTAAGATGCCTATCTAGGTTATCCCCATCCAGTCTTCTTTTTATTTAAAAAAAAAAAAAAAAAAAGAGCTAAGCAGAGAAGACAGCAAGGAGCACTGGACTGAGAGCCAGGAACTCTAACGCCTACAGGAGTCAGGCAGGTAAAGACAGACGTACACCAGAGCTGAGAGAGTGTTAGGAACTGCATCCAGCTGGAAGGTGCACACCCATTTCACTCCAGCTCTGACTGTTGTTGGTGGATGGGAATGAGGGGCCAGTATTTTTAGGCTGCCCTAATTTTTAAGAGAAATTTAAGCCTGGACGTTTGTACAAAATCACTCTGATTTTAAGACAGACCATGCCTGTAGGAGGAGCGTGGGCTGCTGATGCCAGTTTGCAATCCTCAGTCTAGCTGGATGGGGGAGCAGGAGAAAAGACGCAGTGTTGTCAGCTGACTTAGCTTGCAACTTGCATGGAATACGTTTGGGTAGGACCTCATAAATAATCTTAGCCAGAGCTATCCAACTTGGACTTTGATGGTTCCATGAAACTGAGACGCTGGGATCAGTTAATCTGTAACCGGCTTTATTGTTTCAAGATCAGTGTGTTCTGTTAAAGCAAAGAAACAAAACCTGTGGGAGGATAAATATCTTCATTCTCCCCCAGGAAGGCAGTAGGGCAAGGAACCCAAATGGCCACTGGGGGTGAATGTATAGATCACTGACTAGATTGTTCCCCAACTAAACAAAACACAGTCGAAAGATACAGATACACGGTGGATGGCCCTCGCCTTCATTCAGATTCCCATGGAGACGCCGCAGTCACTTTCAGCATCGCAGAGATCCTGGGAAAGATTATCTTGATCTCATTCTGAGTTCCCTTTCCCCTAGAGTCTTTCACTGAAGAAACAGAAGGACATCACACACACTGCTGTTAGAAGAAAGAAGGTGCCATCGAATCAGTATCTGCTTTAGCTTCCGTTCTTCTAGCTCTGGAGGGGCAGGACGCATAGAAGAGCTTTCCAAATTGTTCCAGTTTGACCTCCCCCACCTGACCCCTAACTGAGTACACGCCTCAGCAATCACTGGGATCTTTTTTTCCTATATTGTTTATTTATTCAGTTAAATCACTAGCAACTCAGCCGCCATCATGAGCGTTATTTTCTGGAGCATGTTGCTGACTTGAGATCCTAGAGTGTTTCTCACACTCATCAGTAATTTTTAAAAGGCATTGGAAGCCAGTAAGAGAGCTCTGCAACAACCTCCCACACTGCCGGGTCAGGGGAAGAACCACTCCATTGCTACCCAGGATGGTCCGCGTGTTTATGTCTCTCTTGCATTAACGAGGATAGGCCAACTACTGGGACAAATAACCTGAAGTTTTAATGCATTAACAGAATGAAAATTTGTTTCTGACTTCCTTTACAGGTCAGTTCAGGTTGGCGGGATGCAGGGCTGGACAGTTCCACTCCACGTAGTCAATCGGGGACTCAGGTCCTTCCGTGATGTGGTCCCACCATCCTCTTAGCCCAGGGGATGGCGATGCTTTTCTGCAAAGGGTCAGAGAGCAAATATTTTAGGCTTGGTTGGCCATATGGTCTCTGTCACAACTATTCAACTCTACGTTAAAGCGCAGATCATAGGTGGGCAATACATAAATGAACGGGCTGAGCCATGTTGCCGTAGAACTCCGTGTACCAAGCAGGCAGCGGGCTGCAGTTTGCTGGTGTTACTCTAGGACCTTGTCCCTGTCTCTCTCTGCATTCAGACAGTGAAGAGAGAAAGCGAAAACTCCAGGAAAGAGGCACATATAAAATTAATGTCTATCCCCACAGAACTGTCATAAGGATTACATTACATAGTGTTTGCAAAATGCCTAGTGTAAAGGTCACTATTTAGGAGTTGTTTGATAAATGTCATCATTTTTAAAATCCAGAATAAAGTACCTTTGATATTTACAGGAGTAAGTGGCCATATTTAATTGAGGGGACACAAGAAAGGTTACAGTTGATTCTCAAAGGTAGGATAGGATTTTAACAAACAGAAGTGGGGAAGCAATGTGAGCAAAGGTGTAACCGTTGGAAAGCAATGGAGGGTTCATAAGTGCATATGGCTCTGTTGGCTGGAATGCAGGGTCATGAGGAGGAATGGTAAGATATAAGTCTGGAGAGATAAGTAGGCTTTGAATATCAGATTGAAAGATTGAACGTTCAGTGGCAATAGGGAACCACTGAAAGTTGACGGGGAGTACACACATAAGTCTTGAGTTCCAAAAATCTGTTTGTAAATTTGTTATTTGAAACACAGACTATGTTTTCTAACACAGTAAAGGCAATGTCCCTTTGCCTTCTCTGGGTCTCCTGACCCTTGTCACAAGAGCCTCAGAAAGCATCCCCTCGAAGTCCTTTTTTGTTTTTTCCAAGATTGTATTTGAGAAATTGCATGCACAAGTGGTGTTGGGATGGGCAGAGGGAGAGGGAGAAGCAGGCTCCCCACTGAGCAGGGGGACTGGGACTCTGGGATCATGACCTGAGCCAAAAGCAGACAACTTGCTTAACTGACTGAGCCACCCAGGCGCCCCTAAAAAAGTTCTTTGATATTAGTTTTATAGGATCCTGCATCTACCTAGAATTTAAAGACAGATTTGCTATGCTACTGAAAAGGTTCTTTTGTTTTTAAATCTCAACAAAGAAGGGTGACACAAACAGTTTGTAACGAAAATCTCCCCCAAGATTTTCTGTGGTTTGTAACACTCTTAAAGATATTCAGTGCAAATGTGAATACTTCAGAAAAAAAAAAAAAAAAGCCCGTTTGAGACTCAATACACTCATGCTGGATTTTGTTTCATTTTGTTTTTACTACAGAAAAAGCCTTAGGTATCCTGATATATTCTTTGCTTTTCTTTCTTTCTTTCTTTCTTTTTTTTTTTTTTCCAACAGAGAAAGACAGCAAGAGAGGGAACACAAGCAAGGGGAGTGGTAGAGGCAGAAGCCAGCTTCCTGCTGAGCGGCATGCTGGATTCGGGGCTTCATTCCAGGACCCTGGGATCATGACCTGAGCCGAAGGCAGATGCTTAACAACTGAGCCACCCAGGTGCCCCTCTCCTGTTTTGAACTCAACAACGGTCCTTCTAGGAATTAAGGTATAAACATACATACAGCTATAAAGTTTTGTTTACAGTAACAAAAGCTTGGAAATAATCACGGAGAAATGTTTAATCTATAATATGGGAAACTACACAAGGAAAATGGTGTTATGGAAAAATGTTAATTGTAATATATTAAGTTTAGAAGTTGGTTTCAAGTTCATATAAACAGTATGATGTAATGTTATTAGGAAATATGATTAAAATTGTACCAGCATAATATCCACATTCTTCCTCCCTACACTTCCAGGGCAAATTCAGTCTTTGCTGCCTGGGTTCCCAGCACCGCTGCTGCCACGATACCCAAGCTACCTTTAGGGTCCGCATCAACAACCTCTTACCCTAAGCAAAGAGTTCTGTTTTTCTCAGATAGATTCTTTGAGTTTTGTGATATATAATCAGAATAATGAAGAGAGATGAACTAAGGAGAAGGAGGACCATCTAAAAGGACAACCAAATCTACATAATAATGTACCACAATAAACAGAAAAATGTGCCTGGACCTGGGGAAGAGGAAGGGTTTTCTAGGGGGTGTGGGACAGCGTGGGGTCTAAGGAAACGGGACAGAAGACACGGAGCTGTGAAAACTTATTACAGAAGTGTATTTCAAGCCCTTCATGGTTTTGCAGAGCAGCAATAAAGAATTTGAGTTTTGCGAATACGGATTTTGCTTGCCGGAGACCCAAAACTGCATGAGGGACTTGAATTTATGAGGATTATATTTATACGAACATCCACAGGGGAAACGACCGCAGGCATACCCACCAAGATATTACTATGATTTGGATGAGGTGGTTTTATTCTTCCTACACATGTGTATTTCCCGAGTCTTCTAGCTCTGTGCGTAGGTGTACCATCTTTTTCATTTAATCCTCAAGTACTTCCATGAAGCAGTTCCCTGACGACACCTGGTTTACAGGTGAGGAAGCTGGGGCATGGCAAGAGGAACAGTCATGCTGCTAGTATCTGAGGCGTGAGGAAGGGACCAGAGGAATCTGACCCCAGAACCAGTGCCCTAAACACTGACACTAACTACATGGCTTCTTATTTTTGTTTATTTTATACATTTATTTTCAAATGAAATATATTTTTTTTAAGGATTTCATTTATTTGACAGAGAGATAGAGAGTACAAGTAGGCAAAGTGGCAGGCACAGAGAGAGGGAGAAGGAGGCTCGCCGCCGAGCAGGGAGCCGGATGCGGGGCTCGATCCCAAGACCCTGGGTGACTGAGCCACCCAGGTGCCCCTCAAATGAAATATTTTCATTCTGTAATTCACTGTAACAATGAAACTAAAATAACAGATGCTCAGGGACCCAGCACACCACCTTAATAAATCTTAACTTTTTGCCATATTTTTCTTTAGATAATGTTTAAAGAAAAGAATTATAGGTACAAGTATGTCTCTTTTATTTTAAGGATTTCTTTATTTGAGAGAGAGAGAGAGAGAGGACACGCATGGGGGTGGGACTGGGAGGGGCAGAGGAAGAGGAGGAATCTCAAGCAGACTCCCTGTTGAGCACAGAGCCCACTCCAGGCTGGATCTCACCCTGAGATCATGACCTGAGCCAAAACCAAGAGTCAGACACACCGAATGATTCTTTAATAATGAAGATTGTATTACTAAAAGCAACAAAAGGCTGGATAACAGACTGTATTTGTCCATGACCCAGAGTCCCCTTCCCCATAATCAATAAGAGAAAGCTCTGAAAATATGAAGACAGATGCTCATTTTCCTAAGAAGGTGGCGGGTGGGGGGAGAAGGAGCCAAAGAGACAGTGAGATGGTGACCATGTAAAGCCTTTTTCACACTGACCCTGGTCCTATTTTGGAAGCAACAGCTTATCTGAAATTTAGTGTTTATCATTTCAAGTTTTATGTAATCTTACTGTATATATAGATTTTTATTAAATATGTAGCCTTGTCTGGCCTGCTTTTAAGAATTATACACATGGGGTCATATGCATCATCAAAATGTATACAATGGTCAAAGCCAGTCCCTCTCAAGTTCAGTCTATCATCCCTTCCATACACTTTGATTTTTTCATCCTTTCACCTCCCTGTGTTGCATTCCGAGTAACTTATTCAGTACTGTCTTCCAAGTCATAATTCTCTCTACAACTATGAAATGTTCTATTGCAAGGACTTTCATTGTTTCTGTTTTCCAGGATTTCTATCTAACACATCCTTTTTCATGTCAGATTTTGTTGCTTTTGTTCTGTAATTTATTTTTTTAGTGAATTTTATTACTTCCTTTTTCTCCTTAAATACCTTAGACATGCATAGTTCATAGTCTCTGTCAGGCAAATTAATACATTAAATAAATTCATAAATCAGTTTTATCCCTAATGAATTCAAGTCTTTCTTACTATTAGATTCCTTCATATGTTTGTAGTAGTCATTAATTTCCAGGTTTGTTCTAAGACCTTATTTTTAAGTAATCTCTACACCCAATATGGCACTTGAAACCACAAACACAACTCTGAGATCTAGAGTCACATGCTCAACCAAATGAACCAGCCAGGTGCCCCTGAAGGTTTGTTTTAAACAGAAAAGAGAGACAGAGAGAGAGAGGAGGAGGAGGAGGAGGAAGTAGGCTCCCAGCTGAGCAGAGAGCCCAATGCAGGGCTTGATCCCAGGACCCTGAGATCATGACCTAAGCTGAAGGCAGAGGCTTAACCTACTGAGCCACCCAGGCACCCCATGATTGTGTTTTCATTTTCCTTTTGTCCCTCTTTGCTGTCTGTCCCTCATTCCAGGAGTTTCGAAACTGCCTCCACCCAGTGTCTGAATCCAGAGTACTGCCTCATAAGGACAGGTTAGAGAAGCAATGGGGATGACAACTGAGATGTTGCCAATTAAGATGTTGAGTCAGCAGGAAGTTTGGATTAGTTGCTGGCCAAACCTTGGAGCCCGTGTCCTTCTTCCTCCCAAATCATGCGTGTGCCAGGATGCATGGGATCCAAGCATTTCTTGGTAGCAGTTTTTCCCCCACCCTTCTTTTATGAGATATCAAGCCCCATTCCAAGACCTGGCTTCAAGTTACAGGGACTGTGTCCAATCCTCCAACTCTCATGAGATATTTTCAAGTCCCTGTTACACAACAGAGCCAAGCTCCTACAGCTACTGCCGCTTCCAGATCCAGCAAACCTATAACTCCAGTCCTACTCACCACTTACATTGTTTGTCCATTTCTGGTACACAGGGCTATTTTTCTCTGGTGTTTTCAGCCCATTTATATTTTAGGACGAACCATATAAAATTTCTAAAATTTGATGATTTTACTCTATAAGAACTGTAATCATAGAAGTTCTGGTTTAATATTTTTACTTCTTTTTTTATGTTTTATCTGTTGTGTCAGCATTTTGGAGCAGAAAAGATATGTCAAAATATGAATTTATTTTTC